CTCATACATACCCTACCTTGCTCTTTAACAAATATTATTCTCCATCCCTCACCACCTCGCTCTCTCCTATACATGCACACAGATGGAAACTTGGATCGGACACCTCATATACACACACACACACAGGTAGTCATGCGTTTATCGTGGAGTTGTGTATAGCAAACATGACAACACACAGGTAACCTAGTACTTAGTAAAGCCGCATGTGAATTCCTACTGCTTATGCAATGGAGTGGTGATACGGAAATTGTGGTGACAACACATCCCAATTTCACAATTCACAGATTCGGGTGGCACCGTTGTACGCCCGAGCATCAATCCTTGGCATTATTTAACAGTTTGCTTTCCACTCCAAAGCCCTCGCAGGTTGAAATACGTACCATACATGTCTTTTTCATGAGATCATAAGAACTAAATTGCAATCCTGCATACGGCACAATCTGGACTAGCGTTGGCGATAGTCCAGCATACAGCCCTCTTATGCCCTTCTTCTTGACTATGCCAACAATTGCTTCGCTCATGTTTGCGTAAACCTGAAAATGAGAGGCGAGAGCATAAGAAAAGCCTGCTAAGCATCTCACATAAAAGCCTGGTTAGCACCAATGGGCCTAGCTCAGTTGCTAAACCCATGAACTGCTGAAATGCAGACCAGAGTTTGAATCCAGATACCACCAGATGACCAGAATAAAATCATACTGCATTACCTGGGGCAGCTGTCGCCCCTTTTTTCTTTACTTTTCTTTTCTTTTTAAGCCTGGCTAGCAGCTCACATATCCCTTGAGAAAAGGAGTATTGGTGTGGGAGAAGCCCAGCCAACGTCAGAGTACCACTCATTGCAGCTCACAGTCCACGGAAAGAAACCTGAAGAAGGCAAACCTTCACCAACTACCCATATTGAAGCCAATGAAATTTTCATATCCCCAATACTCCTAAAGGAAATAGCGGGCCTCGCGTGATCGTCCCACGCGAGACATCGCTCCCTGTCTTGGGAAAAGCAGCGTTGGGCCCAAAAGGGTAGCACCAGGCAGGTACCGTGCAGCAGGGGCAAGGGGGGGGGTAAAAGGGCGGGTGCGGGGTCCTGAGAGGCCGCGGGTGGGCCAGAAACGGAGAAGTGGAGGCCCATGACTGTGGTTTGTACGAGGGGAAGCCGGGGCGGGCCAAACTAGAATTTATTTTTTCCGGCCCGTAACGGGCCGGGATGGACGAGTCCGACACACGCCATGGCATGGGCGAGCAGTGCGACAGTTAGGCTGCGCTTGACCACACACAGCACACACGGCACACACACACACACAAACACACACGACAACGACCGTGACGAGAACGACGAGAGGACCACAGCAATGGTGACGAGGATGGCCGGAGGAGGAGGAAAAGGGATGACGATGGGGGAGGAGCGAGGAGGAGGAGGCACGACAACAAGCAGGATGGAGGATGGAGGCAGAGGAGGAAGGAAGAGGGAAGAGCGTGTCGAGGACGGCGATGGAGGAGGAGAAGAAGGGACAAGGAGAAGGGATGACAAAGGGGGAGGAGGGTGGAGGAGGAGGGAGGCGGAGGCACGACAACGAGGACGATGGAGTATGGAGGCAGAGGAGGAAGGAAGAGGGGAGAGGACAATGACAATCAATGGAGGAGCAGAGAGATGTGGAGAGGGGGTGGAGGGAGGGAGGGAGGGAGGGAGAAGCATACGGGAGTAGTGGAAAAGCAGGGTGGACAGAAGGAGGGAGGAGAACAAAGACGATCATAGCAATGACGGTTGTTTCTGGAAGGACCGCTATCCAGAGGCGTCGAAGCCTCGAACCACGATGAGGGGGCAGGAGGAGGGTGGAGGGGGAGGGAGGAGGAGGCACGATAATGAGGAGGATGGAGGATGGAGGCAGACTCTGAGGAAGAAGGAAGAGGGAAGAGCTGGCGAGGACGGCGAGGACGGCAATGGAGGAGGAGGAGGAGGAGGAGGAGGGAGGAGGAGGAGGCATGACAATGAGGAGGATGAAGGATGGAGGCAGAGCAGGAAGGAGGAGGGGAGAGGACGACGACAATCAATAGAGGAGCAGAGAGAGATGGGAGGGGGAGGAGGGAGGAGGGAGGAGGGAGGGAGAAGAATTCGGTTGTAGGATGGAAGAGAAGGGTGGATGGAAGGAGGAAGGATAGCAACGACGAACATAACGATGATGGTTTTTGTTTGGGAGGACCGCTATCCAGAAGTGTCGAAGCGCTGAAGCGCATAGAGGCCGCGGCAGGAAAAAAACCCATCCTCGTGAGCGGCTGTCCAAAAAACAAAAATTGGGCTGGGACCGGAGGTGGGAAAACATTGTGGGCAGCCGGCGTACAGCAGGCCACGGGGGAACCGACGGGAGAGGAGGGCAAGCACGGACAGAGGAGGGACGACGAGCAGCAAGGTGGAGAAGGCAGCAGGGCAAGGGAGGAATTGGAAGGGCAAGGATAATGAGGTAAGAGAGGAGCTTAATAGCATAGAGAATGAAGGCTGGAGGAGGAGGGAGGAGGCGACGAGCAAGGATGGAGGAAGAGGGAGGAGGGCAACGAGCAAGCATGGAGAAGGAGGGTGGCTCCTTCAGGTAAATGCAAGATACACACAATCTCCTGACGAGTCAGTGAAAGTCAGACGAACAGACTGGCACAGTCATGCTTTTTTTTAGTGTATGTTAGTGTATAACGAATATGACAACATACACACACACAAACATGACGAAACAGGCTGGTGACTCTGGCACAGTCATGCTTTTTTAAAACTTTTCCGGAGTTGAGTATAGCAAACATGACAACATACAGATGTTCTCGGGGGCGTGTGCCTCAGGGGTCTGTCTAAGTCAGACGAAACAGTCTATTGTTACGATCCTGGCCAATTTCGAAGTATACATTCATCAGAAAGTACAACGCCGTCCAATTGCAAAAAGAAATGAATGAACTTGAGAGGAGAGAGAGGGAAAGAAGAAGAAGAAGAAGAAGAAGAAGTAAGAAAGAAGAAGAAGATGTACTCCAACATAGATCAAAGATAATGCTCTTCTTCGCCAACCAATCTCCTCCTCCTTATCTCCTCCCCTCTTATTCAAACAGGAAATAACAATAATAATGTTGAATGGCTGAACCAGAATCAATGTCCGAATCCCACTTCTACTGCAGGCACAACATGAGGTCCACCATAGCCATGGCCACCCTTCCTCTTCCTCTTCATGTAGGCCGAGGCTATGGCGGAGCACTGACGGCTCTACCCTCCTGTCCAAAGGACAACCCAAAGCAGCTATGTCGCTGCCCTCCTGTCCCAAGGTCAACACTAGGCAGATATGCCGCTGTCCACTCAACCGCCATGGCTGACTCTGTCCCGAGCTTCCTTGATGCGGCACTACCCCAACTGGGGCCTTCCAGATGCAGCGCCTAACAAGGTGATGAAGATGGTGTCCACCATAGCCNACTGGGGCCTTCCAGATGCAGCGCCTAACAAGGTGATGAAGATGGTGTCCACCATAGCCACGTAGGTACCTCGCCACTCTCCTCCTTGGTCCTCTTCTCCCTCCTCCTACTGGTAGAGCTCCCCCATAGCCAAGGTGGAAGCTCCCGGCTTCTTCCTCCCAGCAGCGCCGTAGTTGCCAGCGCTCCTCCAGCCAGCGCTCCAGCAGCATGTCGCCAAACTTGCACACTGAAGAATGAGGTCGGGCTCTGCCCTCGGCCTCCTGATATAGCGGCCTACTTGCCTCCTGGGCGGTGACTTCCAGGCCGCTCGGCCTCCCAAGCAACCGGTACCTTCTCCCTTTCGGAGGGAGACATCATTGCAGACTCTGATATTGCCCGTACAGGCCCTAGACTCAGACTAGATGGACTGGTACCGGCCTAGACCTAGGCTACCGCTACCGGGCCTCTAAAAATGCCAACTTTGTCTTCTTCTGCTCGGCCTCGAGTACCCGGCACATCTACTGCTACTAGGCGCGGTAGCGGCCTACCTGCTACTTGAGTGTTTTTCTGCTGCTCCAAGTGCCGCGGGCCTCTGACTCCTCTACTTGAGTGTTTTCCGTGCTGCAACCGTCAATATCACGGCCACAGGTAAGTACCGGCCCTACGGGCCTCCCCAACAAGCAAGTACCCTTGCGGGTCACACACACACCGACAAGCACTCAGACAGGCACGCAAGTCAGCAAGCACGCACGCATACAGAAATAGAAAACTCAGCAGAATGAAGGAATCTCAGCACGGCATCCATTCCATTGGCAGAACTTCAGAAATCAGCAGTGTTCTCAGTCTGTGTTATGGCGGGTCATTACACTAACCCCCCATCAAGAGCAAGGTCCCTTCGAGCGAGTAACTCAATCAGAGTCCCTGCATAATGCATCATAAGCGTAAATGGCAAAGAGAGATCGGGTATGTTCCGTAGGAGTGAAGGTAGCAGTGAATTTAGGTTGCTGTTCGGAGCTAATCAGGACTCCCAGGGCACTCTGCAGCAAGTCTTTCTTAGCAATCCAGTAAAATTCATTCAATGGGTGGTACAGAAAATGAACTTTGTATTGTCTGTTTCTCCCTTTTCCACTGTGCTCGACAATTCTATCAATCCCGTGACCGCCATTGACTACGCGACGAATCATCGATTCTCGAAACCGAAAAGTTTCGGGTGGTACATACGGAAACAACTTCGATGCGTGAAAGACTGGGTATGTGCGCAGATGAGCAGGCATATCGATCGTGTAAGAAGGACCGAATGAATCCTCCGGATTCCTCCCCTACCTGGTTCAGTACTTTCTACGGACCGTAATACTGAGGAATAATATTTCATGAGACACCTTCTTCTTCAGAAAACTCAAACATTTTGACCCAGACATAGCTTCCCACTGTGATTTTGTTAGCATGCTTAATCATGGCACTGCTTAGCCTTTCCATAGCTGCAACAGCAACTTTGAGCAAGCGATCAAACTTAGCGTTGTAGCCAGGCTGGCCAGGTGTTAGGCCAGGTGGCTGATCAAGAAACAGGTGGGATAGGGGATTGCGAATCTGCCACCCGAGGTGCGGCCGATTACGTGTCATCCCGGTGGAGGAATGTATGGAGTTGTTGTACAATCCCTGTACAATCGACAATTCCTCTTCCCAAGAGTTCTGATCAGGCACAATAAGAGCTCGGAGAAGTTGGATCACAGTCTGGTTGATCTCCTCGGCCAGTCCATTGGCTTTGGGATGTCGGCCAGACGTCATCTTGAGTTTGATGTCATAGATCTGGGAGGTGAAGTCCTTCCAATCTGCACTTATGAACGTAGTGTTCCGGCCACTCACAAGAGTTTTCGGGGGCCCACACCGCAGAATATGCTTTTTGTGAAACTCCTTGATCACAAGGTCAGTTGGGCCGTGAGGTGGTAATGGGATCAAATTCAAAAAATTTGAACAGCGGTCAATGATCACCATTACTTGTGAATATCCATTCCTGCTCTTCTTTCCCATGTCCGTGAAGTCGATGGAAAGAGACTCACTCATCAGGAATAGGAAGAGGATGCCCCATAGGGCTTTTGACGAGACGGTTTGATGCGTTGACAAACTTCACACTCAGCCACAAACTTTCGTGCCATTTCTTTCATCGTAGGCCATACAAACTTTTGAAATAGACTTCCATATGTCTTTTCAAAATCGAAGTGTCCACTCCGACCATGAACCAAGTCCAAGAAGTGAGTACGGATAGGCTCATGGTTAGGTACACACAGTCGGTAGTACTTCGTGTAACGTCAGAAGAGTAAACCTTTACACTCGTGGAAATCAGGTTGACTGCTAGGCTCAGCTTGAATCTGTTCAAGGATGGGACTGAGTTCCGGGTCCTTGGCAGTATGCTCAACGAGTTCCTCCTTCAAATTCTTACGGAGATCGTAGGAACCCACAAGGCAAGTCACGTACTCAGGATGGCGAGACAAAGCATCCGCAACGCAATTGTAACAACCTTTCTTGTGCTTAAGTTCAAAATCATATACATCAATCTCATGCATCATGCGGGTCAATGTAGTTGATGGATTAATCTGTGTCTGGATCCATTTCAAAGTCTCATGGTCTGATAACACTTTGAAATGGTGACCCAAGAGGTAGTGTTTCCAATGATCTACCACCTCTCTCAAGTCATAGAGTTCTCGCATGTAAGTGGAGGCAGCTGCCTTGTGACTGGGCATGCGTTTGCTGTAATACTCAAGCAGACGTAAGTTGTCACCATCATCTTGTTGCAGCACTACACCATTCCCATACAAGCTTGCATCCGTAGTTACTATGAATGCAAGTTTGGGATCTGCAATGCGAAGCACCGAATGACTCACCAAAGCCTCCTTCAAGGCTTGGAAGGTTGTTGTGCATTCCCCATCCCACGCGTAAGACACGTTCTTGCTTGTCAATTTGGATAGCAGACGGGCGATGATAGAGAATTTGGACACAAACTTACGGTAGTACGATGCAAGACCAAGAAAAGAATGCAACTCATGGACATTTGTCGGTTGAGGCCAGTTGCGGATGACCTGAACTTTGGTTGCCTCGACCTCTAGACCTGCAGCAGACAACCGATGTCCAAGGTAGATGACGTTGTCCCTCCCAAACTCAGATTTCTTTAAGTTGAGATGGAGTTGTGCATTCTTGAGGATCTGCAACACTTCCTCAAGGTGTCTCATATGCTCCATCGATTTGTTGAAGATTAGTATGTCATTCAAATCAACAACAACAAATCGATTGATCTGATTGCGGAACACCTTGTTCATGAGACTTTGGAAGGTTGCTGGTGCATTCGTGAGGCCGAAGGGCATAACCGTAAAATTCGCACAGCCCATCGCGAGTTTTGAATGCAGTTTTTTGCTGGTCTGCAGGGTCGACTTCAATCTGGTGGTAGCCAGACTTGAGATCGATCTTGTTGAAGACCGTACATCTACCTGCAACATCATGCAGATCGTGTGACAAAGGGTATGCATTCTTTATGGTTATTCTGTTCAGAATCGATACACATCCGTAGTTTGCCTCCTTTCTTAGGAACAAACAAAACTGGTGTACCGAATTCGGATTCGCTTGGCTTGATCCAACCTTTCACAAGCATGTCATCGATCTGCTCTTCGCAACTCCTCCAATTCGCCTGAGCCATTAGATAGACACAACCTTTTGGAGGAGTGCTGCCTTTTATCAACTCGATCTTGTGTCGGACCGGTCGCACGGGGACTCCATGCTGTTCGGCGAAGGATTTGCACTTACATGTTCAACCTCTCCATTTTTAGAGTGTGTTGATGATGTCTCTACCCCCTTTGTTGGTTTCCCTGTTGCAATCTGAAGCAATGTTGGACTTAGCGTCCTGGTTTGGTACAATGCAGGCAAAGCGCTTTCTTCACCGTGTGTTTCCACTCACTTTAATTGATCCGGAGATCTACCCATGGTTTTGTGGCAGGATCCTCCGGTTTGGGTGGAATCTTCGCTCCCTTGGGAAGGAGAATGTTATTAGTGTTGTTCTTCACTGCGTTCCTCGGTCCCTTACTTTTGAAGGCAGTCTTCTTAAAGGCATTCATTGATTTTTCATCATCCACATAATCGGACTCATGGGCTAACGAAGAGCAAGATGCCTCGCAGTCTTGCTCTTGATCGTCACCAAGAGACGGGTCCTCTGCGAAGGTCTCCTCGTCAACCTCAAGTAAATCGTGCGCTGCAAAACGGTTGCTGCCCGGAAACCGTTTGCAGCTGGTGGTCTTTTTGCCACCCAATCCACCCGGGAGGTCTTGTGCCTCCAACTTGACTAAATCCCGCATGAGGGAAAGCCAATTTGTATACATTATCAGCATCAGATTGGGTCTCAAGAGAGGTTAGTGTTGTTCTTCACTTCGTTCCTCGGTCCCTTACTTTTGAAGGCAGTCTTCTTAAAGGCATTCATTGATTCTTCATCATCCACATAATCGGTCCACTTGTTGTGCTTGAGTTTGTCAAGCTTGAGTCCAACTTTGGCTGCAGCATGCGGATCAGCATATTGTTTGATCAAGAGATCTTCGAGTGTGGCTATTGGCGTAACCTTCAGCCATTTATTCAGGTCTATTCTTTTATAGCCTGACTGTACAGCTTGGACTTCTAAGAAGCCCCTTATGGCGGGTTCCACATTGGTCCCTAGGACCGACGACTGAGTAACCGGGGGTGTCCCCAACATATCAAAGTAGGATCGCATAGAGCTGATGCTTTTCGACATACTTAGACGGAATTTGTGTCGCCTCCCTGTCCATGTAGGGAAAGCTGCCGCTAGGACCAACGATTGCTGGGTCCGAATTCGGGGCTGCAACAGTTCCGGAATGCGCTGCACTGCCACTTGCCCTTGCAGCAACAGCAGCAGTAACAACGGGGTCTGGACCTGCCGCAGATCCGAATATGTTGTTGACCACACTCAAAGAAGAAGAAGAAGAAGAAGATATAGTTAGAGGGGCAAGAACGGACTGACACGCAGCACTAGAAGCAGGGTAAGCAGGCGGAAGGACACCTTGGGCTGGCTGAATATTAGCAAAATGTTGCAGCTGGTCACGGTGCTGCTGCGCCATCAGGGCCATATCTTTGCGCAACTTCTTGAGTTCATCAAACACCTCGGCGAGTTGGTCAGGTCTTCAGCAGCCCGGACCTCTACTAAAGCTCTGAGAAGGGGGATGGTCTTCTCTACCACCTCAACATCAGTTAAGGCGGGCACGATACTGAAAACGGCTTCATGAGCCTTTGTCTCCCCGCTCCTTCTCCTAATCTTCCTCTTCCCTCTTCAATGTTTTTTCATAAAAGAACTGGTACTGCGTTTTTTCTGCTTCAGGGGCAGCGTCCATTTGCAGCTTCCATTCAGTTGCAGATGCCATGATGGAGGACGAGGGTGTCAATAAGTCTCTCAAGAGAGGCAGCGTCCATTTGCAGCTTCCTCACACTTCTGGGACGAACACTCCTCTTCCCTCTCCTCACCCCCTCAAAAGCAACACTTAGAAGCTTCTCTCTTCTCTCTTTCTCGCTCGTTTGCGATCGTGTAGACGCAGGCATTTGATGAACCTAATGAAAGAAACAACTTGAAAGCAATTAGAAGAGAAGTCATTTGGACTAGAGAGCAGTCATAACAATCAAAAAAATAAAAATAAGAGAGATCTGATTACGCCACACAGTCTGGTCCGACTACGTATGAGGTCCTCTCAAGCCTAGCCGAACTCAGCTCCGTGAAGACACATCAAATCAAATTTGAAGTATACTACGTAATGCAAGAGAGAATTGAGTGGTGTACAAGGTGCGAGTCAGTCGGCGGATCGTGCGGTAAAGTCTATTAAAACGTCTCAGTTGAGATACCCTCAACAACGAGTGTCTTGGTTCGAAAGCATGGACTCCGAGTCCCAATCAAATAGAGCAAGGTAATTGACGTCAACAGATTTGGACCTGAGGGGCCCTTCTTGTTTGAACCTGGTCCCACTGAGTCCCAAATGGTCCCAGTGGAGTCAAAACCGGGTCCCGACCAACAAGAGTTCCACAAAGACCTAATCTCTGCCCCTACTGAATTGAAAAATGAAATTTATCCCTAAACGACACACAACATACTCCATTCATTCACTCGTCGGGTGAGTAAGCAGTTCACACACCTCACACAAGATCAAGACTATGGAGGATGGAAGAAGAACCCAGAATACCCCAGCAGGCAGTCAATTCCATGCACACACACATGGGCACCCTAACGACACGACACTTACCTGAGTGGCTGGGCTCTTGAGATGAAAAGAAACTCACCCCCCTCTCACATAGTCCTCCTCACCCAATTAGCATCCTCTACACTAGTGTTCCATCATCTAGGAGGATCAACATGTACCCTAACGTACAACGTCAGATCCCCCGTGGATGTTGAAGATCAAAGTAGCAACTTGCGGTCTGTAGGTGCAAATATGGCTGCCACTCTCAAGCTCGCCTAACTTGAAGGGATCCCTAAAGTCACTCCTCGTCTTCGTTGAAGTCCAAATTCAAGTTGTAGGTGCCCTTCATTGTTGCCTCTCTCCAATTGCATCACAAAGTCCCACATTGTGTCTCGCCACCACAAACATGCACTCTTGCAACCTGGCCGGGTCTAATGTCGACCCTACACGGCCCTGCCAGGTGGGAGCAGCTTCCCTTTACCACGCTGCCCCACTTAACCCTAACTTCCAGCCCTAACCCTAAGTGGTTAGCCCTTACCACTTAGGTTAGGGTTATGGCAGCAAAGTCAACTCTCGCCAGCAAGTAGAATCCGCTCTGATACCAATGTTACGATCCTGGCCAATTTCGAAGTATACATTCATCAGAAAGTACAACGTCGTCCAACTGCAAAAAGCAATGAATGAACTTGAGAGGAGAGAGAGGGAAAGAAGAAGAAGAAGAAGAAGATGACGTACTCCAACACAGATCAAAGATAATGCTCTTCTTCTTCGCCAACCAATCTCCTCCCATCTTATTCAAACAAGAAATAACAATAATAATGTTGAATGGCTGAACCATAATCAATGTCCGAATCCCACTTCTACTGCAGGGACAACATGAGGTCCACCATAGCCATGGGCACCCTTCCTCTTCCTCTTCATGTAGGCCGAGGCTATGGCGGAGCACTGAGGGCTCTACCTTCCTGTCCAAAGGACAACCCAAAGCAGCTATGTCGCTGCCCTCCTGACCCAAGGTCAACATTAGGCAGCTATGCCACTGCCCACTCAACCGCCAAGCCTGCCTCTGTCCCGAGCTTCCTTGATGCGGCACTACCCCAACTGGGGCCTTCCAGATGCAGCGCCTAACAAGGTGATGAAGATGGTGTCCACCATAGCCAGGTAGGTACCTCACCACTTTCCTCCTTGGTCCTCTTCTCCCTCCTCCTCCTACAGGTAGAGCTCCGCCATAGCCAAGGCAGAAGCTCCCGGCTTCTTCCTCCCAGCAACGTTGTAGTAGCCAGCGCTCCATCAGCGTGTCTCCAAACTTGCACACTGAAGAATGAGGCCCGACTCTTCCCTCGGCCTCCTGATATAGCGGCCTACTTGCCTCCTGGGCAGTGACTTCCAGGCCGCTTGGCCTCCCAAGCAACCGGTACCTCCTCCATTTCGGAGGGAAACATCATTGCAGACTCTGATATTGCCCGTACAGGCCCTAGACTCAGACTAGATGGACTGGTACCGGCCTAGACCTAGCCTACCGCTATTGGGCCTCTAAAAATGCCGACTTTGTCTTCTTCTGCTCAGCCAAGAGTACCCAGCACATCTACTGCTACTGGGTGCTGTACCAGCCTACCTCCTACTTGGACTGTTTTTCAGCTGCTACAAGTGTCGCGGGCCTCTGGCTCCGCTACTTGAGTGTTTTCCCTGCTGCAACCCTCAATCGCGGCCACAAGTACGTACCGGCCCTACGGGCCTCCCAAACAAGCAAGTACCCTTGCGGGTCACACACACACTCGTACCGACAAGCACTCAGACAGGCACACAAGTCAGCAAGCACGCACACATACAGACTTATGAAACTCAGCAGAAAAATGTGGGAATCTCAGCAAGGCATCCATTCCATCGGCAGAACTTCATAAATCAGCAGTGTTCTCAGTCTGTGTTATGGCGAGTCATTACACTATCGTAGTCATGCTCATTTTTTGGAGTTATAAATAACGAACTTGACGACGCACACGAACACATACATATGCGTGTGTGGGCGATAACGAGAGGAAGATGGTGAGGGTGACAAGGTCGATGATGGACGAGGAGGAGGCCGGAAGAGGGAGAGTGAGGACAAAGTCAATGGAGGGATGTGGATGGAGGCAGATGAGGGGGGAGAAGGAGGGAGGATGGACGCAATGGAGGGCAGAGGAGGGAAGAGGACGA